TTACAAGCAGCGTCTAATGGATTAATTCCTTGATCACCTCTAGATAAACGCTTTGCTAACTTTGTACCAGGCCCACAGAATTGGTAACCTGGCAAATGTAACTCGAACGATAAACTATTGATTATACGATTGATTAAACCTTTTCCTTGATAGCGTTCTTTTTTCACCTCTTTATGCAGAATCATTCTTCACTCTACAATGGTTGTCGTGAAACTGACAAAATTACTATATAAGCTAGGTATTTATACATTTTAGGGTAGTTACTGTCAAGATGCAGTTCACGAAACAACCTGTCATGCTGCCAATAACTAGTATAGATATAGAAACAAACGAAAAAAAGATTAAACGTCATGGTAGTTTGTTTTCAGGCAGCATTCGAGCTGTTTTCTGTAGTCCCTCAAATTGTGGTAAAACAAATGCTCTTCTTTCCCTAATAATACATCCAAATGGTCTGAGTTTTGAAAATATTTACCTCTACTCTAAATCTCTACAGCAACCGAAATATAAGTTTTTGGAAAATGTCATCGGTAACGTGAATGGTGTTGAGTACTTTCCATATAGTGAACATGAAGAAGTAGTATCTCCAAAAGACGCTAAACCAAATGCAATATTCATTTTTGATGACATTGCTTGCGCAGATCCAGGAGGGCCACAGTGACATGCCCCCCCACGAGAATTTAAACTTCCTGGAATTTTTTAAATAAAAATTTCATTCATAATAGGTCATCAAGCTAGCGTCTAGCAGATGCCCCCTCCAAGATCCTTGTCTGGATCCGCCCCTGATCATGGGCAAACGATGGGATTAATTTATTTAAAAATTTTTAAGTATTATTTACACAGTGAAAACGGTAGGCCTAACTTGCCATTGAACCAAATCACAATTTTACACAGAAAGAAGGTTAAGTTTGGAGAGACTCAGTCTGAAAACACATTTGCTGTGAAAAATTTGTGTGATTTTGTCAAATGGCAAGTTAGTCATTTGGCCATCACTACGTATATAAAAATTAAAAAATTTTAAATCAATAGATCCCATCGTTTGCCCACGATTGGACAAAGCTTAAAAATTGTCAATTTAGTGCTAGTTTCTCACAAAAAATTTTGAAAAAAATTGATCGATACATACATTGTTAAAAATAAAATTTTATTTTAAAAATTTTTAAATCTTATCCTAAATTATTTAAAAATTTTTTAAAAATATTTTTATTAAAAACTACGCGTGAAAACAAAACTTTTCGTTATAAAAAACGTCCAAATTTATCAATTTTTGACCGAGTTATAAGCATTTAAAAAAAATTTTACGTAAAAAACGTCATTTTTCAAAACTCTGTATCTCCTGAACCGCTTTATGAAAAAATTTGAAAAAAATCAAGGTAGCTCTTTTCAAAGAGTACTAAAAAAAATATGTTTAAAAAAAATTTGAGATGCAAAAGCAAAATGATTTCCGATTTGGCGTGGAATGCCCCATATACTTTATATACAGCAATCAATTCGTCTTGATGCAAAAAATTAGATTTTTAACTGGTTTCCAAATAAATAATAATATTTTATTTTACAGCAGAATAATTTTGAAGAAGGAAATGATTTTTAATAAAAGTGCGAATTTTTCAGCTTTAATTGTAATTATTTTCATAAATTTAAATAAAATATATACTTTATATAAACCAATCGATCCGTCTTGATGCAAAGAATAAGATTTTTGAAAGCAAGGAGTAAGATTTTATTGTACAGGAACATAATTTTGCTGAAAAAACTGATTTTTTGATAAAAATGCGAATTTTTCGGTTTTAATTGTTTTTAACTCTACAAATTCTTATGCAATTTAAACTTTATATAGAACAATTGATTCGTCTTGATGCAAAGAATAAGATTTTATTATATATTATTTTCAATATTCGACTTAAAAAAATTTAAAAAAAAAAATTTTCTTGTTAGAAGTAAAAAAAAAATTTTCTGTGGATTTTTCAAAGTCCATCAATCCATTTCGAGATATTTTTATGATAAATATAGGGGAGACTGGGGCGAAAGGTTAAACTGTCAAAACAGTTAAAATTAATTATCTTTCGAACGGAAATAGTTAGAGCAATGCAATTTTAATTATATAAGGGGGTGTTATCACTCTAAATAAATGTCCCGAGTTATGTGACATTCTGTTCATTTTTGTGGTGTTCATATTTAAAGCCATTTCTTAGGTCCTTATTTGGATCCCCTGAAGAGATACCTAAAGGTATTTGTTCAATATCTTTAGTCAGATTTTTTATATTTGTTGTTAAAGCCAAATATGCACCCTGGGGCGAAAAGTTAAATGTATTTTTACACGTTATTAAAAATGTTTTTTACATTTTCCGTTTTTTTGGGTTTATTTGTTTAAAAATTATTTATTTGACATTGGGTAAGTACTCTGTCAAAAAACAAGACCGTTCACGTGAAATAAACCAAAAAATTTTTTTTTTAAATTTTAATTTATTAACTTTATAACTATTTTAAAGCTTTTGTTAAATAAACACAGATTTTTTATTAACTAAATTACTTGTTATACTTAAAAACTTATCTACTACTTAACACCTATCAGAAAACAGTTTTAGTAGGCTTGAAATAGAATTTGACATTTCGCCCCAGCATAGGGCGAAAAGTTAAAAAAACAAAATTTTTAAAAAAGGACAAAACATGTATTGTATGCTGAGATTTTCCTCACGCGGCTCCAAAAAAATTGATTTACGGTGTTTACTTTATCTCGAAATAGAATCATCTAAAACAAAAAAATCAAAGTGCATTTGTTAGAGTAGATGTTTTTTGAGGTAACGCTGGGAGCTTTTTTTATATTACAAATTTTACAATAACAAATTAATCAATTTTTTTATAGCAAAAATCGACTTTTTGGCTTTCAAATGCTTCGAAAATACGAAAAAAAAATAATCCTCCCAGCGTTACCTCAAAAAACATCTTTTTTAACAAATGCACTTCGATTTTTTGTTTTTGATACATCATACTACTGTGTGAAATGATTTATAGAGCATGAGCAGTTGTAAAATCCCATATAAATATGCCTATTTTTAGGTACCATTTTCTCAGCTCCAAATTAATATTTTTTCAAAAAACTTCTTTTCTACTGATATCACATACAATTACTCGTTTTTTTTGTTAAATAATCAGATAACGTTAAGTCAACTAATTTATGTGTAACATCAAACGATCAGTATACAGTCCATTAATGTACAAGTATTAAAAAAAGAACCAAATACTTTAAGCGGTTTTTGAGAAAATGGTACATGAATCGGTTTAAAGGGATTCATTTATTATACTTTTAACTTGTAAAATTTGTTTTTGATATAATATTACACTTCGTATAATCTTATGTAGAGAGAGCAACAGGTGAACTTCACTTGCAAATCGGCGTGCAAGTTTTCTGCTTAACGGTTTTTGCTAGAACCAAAATCGAAATATTTTCTTAATCTGGGATACATGTAGCAGTCGAGTACGTAGGATTTTTATTTCAATTTTTGTGGATTTGGCACCACATTTTGTGGGAAAATTTGACCCTGAAATCTTGACTTTTTTGTTCAATGTGGTGCCAAATCCACAAAAATTGAAATAAAAAATCCTACGTACTCGAATGCTACATGTATCCCAAATTAAGAAAATATTTCTATTTTGGTTCTAGCAAAAACCGTTAAACAGAAAACTTGCACGCCGATTTGCAAGTGAAGTTCACCTGTTGCTCCCTCTACATGAGATTATACGAAGTGTAATATTATATCAAAAACAAATTTTACAAGTTGTAAGTACAATAAATTAATCCCTTTTAACCTATTTCTGCACGGAAAAAAAAGTTCACGAATCTCTCGTGAACTAGTATATCACTTTTGGATGGGACACAAAATTTCAAAATTTTCATTCACTTTTGATTAGAAATGGCGAACGTCAACGAAAAACTGAAACAAAGTTAATGAATTTTTGATGAACTGTTAATAAAGAGTAGTTCGTCAAAAGTAGAGGTACAAGTTCACAAAAAAATCGTGAACTCGCGAGTGTCAGTAGTATGCGCAGTTCGTAATGCGCATCAAATATGGCTGATCAAGCATTCATCATTCAGTCGGTGTCATCGGTGTTTACATTCGAGAAAATTCTTTGATGAAAGTTATTATTTAGAATCAGTGTTTTTTATTACTTAGTGAATATTTTTGTTTGCTAATTTCCTTTGTGAAACAAATAATTCATAAAATGAATTAAAAGTTACGATAAGGGACTTTTTCTACTTTGCACGGTCCTGAGTTTTACAGCAGACAAAGCTAATCGTTTCGTTTGTCGAAGGACAGTGTATCTAGATTTAGCCGTGGCGGTTAGTTGTTAGAAATATTATGTTATACGCTTATAGGGTATAGGTACTAGGTTCGAATCCCGTGAAGTGGATTACGAATTTTAATGTCGATAAAATTGTGTATTCTGTGTAGTTGGGTGCGTAATAGGCGTCAAGTTATCAAATAAAGTGAAATACTATAACAAAGTAGTGTCTGGAAATTATTTTTTCTTGTTTTTAGCATTTTTTAAAAGTTCACGAATTTTTCGTTAACTTTGACGAAAAGTTCGGAAACCGTACTATGTTTCTAGTGAAGGAGTTGATGAAATTTTGACGAACTGTGTTTGTTGATTTTCAAGAATTTTGTGTCCCATCCAAAAGTGATATACTAGTTCACGAGAGATTCGTGAACTTTTTTTTCCGTGTGTTTACTTTATTCCTTCTATCTCGCTTCTATGTAAAAAATATCATGAAAAACAGGTGAAAATTGTGCTGCAGAAGTGTCACTCCCCCTTAAGTATGTTTCAAAATAGTGACAACAGAGTTTATACAAAAAGAACTATTTTCACACATTTATGAAAACTTTTAATTGTTGGTCACATTTTCGACAAGAGAATTGCATTATCAACCAAAAAAGAACTGTATGAACGAGGAGCGTTAGTAAATCTTTATTCATGATCAAAAGAAAAAAAGAATTTAGTCTTACCTGTGAATTCCAGCATAATTAAAAAAATCGAAAGAATAAGTTTGTACTTTAACAGAGCCATGATCAGTAGGAGCTTCAACAATTTTTCCTTGAGGAACACTAGTTTGTAGGAGAGTATTATCAACAACTACGGTAATTTTGTTTTTTCCTCCATAAATTACAGAAGATGTGATTTCAGCCTCGAACGGTAAATGACCCATCTCATGATTTATTACTAGGTCACCATTTACCCACTAAAAATTAGAAATTTTAATTATTAATTTAATCAATACATTCTTGAGGACTTAACATTTTATTAAAAGTATTTTGCATTCAAATTTTACGTTACTTAATTACAAATTTTATGTGTGTTGAAAATTGAAAATAACTTATTCAAAATGACCGAAAAATTTTTGATATTTTTTAGAAACTTATGAAACTTGACATTGAATAATTCTTGGAGTCGCCGAATTTTTAATTTAGAAGTTTGATAGTATATTAGGGTGTCCCAAAAATGCATTGTATAAAAATTTTTCTTGGAAAAAGGCAAGAAACCCCCGCAATTTGTTCCAATGCCAAAAAAAATTGATACGTATTTTTTTATTCAAAAAAATATTAATATTAAATTAAAACGTGTCACCGAGCATTTTAAATTTCCCATGTAAAATGCATGGGAAAAATTTCAATTTTCGAAAAATCAGAATCATTCGCGAGGGTTTCAAAAAAGTTAACAATAAATTTCTAGGAATTATAGAGGGCTCTCTGCCGAGTAATTTGACCTATGTAACTTTAAATTTTGACCACCCCAACCCTCTACAGCACTACACGAAAAGAAAAAGTCTAAAGAATATTTTAATGTTTGTATTAAAAAGTTGGACAAGAGTCACTTTTTAAAAATGTTTTAATACTGTATCTCTAATTAATATTCATAACAATTATAATAAAGTTTAAAGAAAATAAAGACAAATATGAATAAAATTTGGATCTATGTGAAATAAATTACAATACTGTTTTAAAATACAATGCCTTTCTATGAAATATTTAAACCTTACATTCATTAAAAGATTCTTAATACAGTATAGTAAATATATTGAATCAATATAAAGTAAATTACTATACTGTATATAAATGTAAAACCTGACAATGAAATGTTTAATAACTTGTCATACAGAAAATTTATTTTAAAAAAATTTATATAGTTTCCTTTTAGTTTTAAAATTTTTTAAAGCATGTATGATTGTAAAGCACATTGATTCCAAAATTAATTTTTAGCAATAAGAGAGTTTTCTAGTGTTATTATAATTATATTATACTATTATTATTATTATATTATATCATTATAATTACCATAAAAATTAAAATCATTAAAGTGCGATTTTTAAATTTGTGTGTAATTGTTTTTGCGGTATTCAATTTTTATACACTATTTGTTAAGGCGGATTTTCATGGAGTGATAAAATCGCAGCGACGATTGGCGACACTGTCGTCAACTTGTCGTAGCGACGACTAGCGTGGACCGGCGACACGATCAACTTGTCGCAGCGACGATTGGCGACATTGCAGCGGCGAATTGAAATTTGTTTTTGACATTTGTCTTTTTTAAATTTTGAAAATTCAAAAATTATGGATAATCGTAATATAAATGCATCAGATTATGAAGAGTGGTACAATAATTACTATCGACATAATAATGTCGATAGTAATTATTGTATTATGTATTATTATTATTATGTATTATTATTGTATTATTATTGTATTATTGTATTATTATTATGCATACTACGTAAATTGTTTATTACAAATGAATCAATATTATAATGAAATACATCGAAAAAGGAAAGTTGCTGCAGTAGCAGCTTTGTTTATTGCAACTAAAAAGAGGAAATATAAGAAGAAAAAATATTGGGTAGCTCCAATTTTCAAAATTCGAGAGCAAAGTGGATTTTTCAATGCGATTTTTCCCACACTGCAACTTGAAGATTTGAGATTCCATAATTACCTACGAATGTCAGCTGTACAATTGGAAAATTTGTTACAAATAATGGGTTACAAAAAAATGGTCATGTCGTGTTTATTTAAAATTTACTGTGTTTATTGAAAGTTTAGGTGTCACAGAATAAGAATATACCAGAAAAACTTTTTTTCATTCGGTCATTCCCTTAAAAAACGAGTTTAAAGTCTCAAAAAACCGTATTTTTAGCACTTTTTGAGGCAGCGTAACAAGAAAATGCAACATGATAAAAATCTCTACAAAAGCTTAAATAAAAGCTTAAACCTTCAACTTTAAGGCTCAGAACTGAAAAGTACTTAAAGAAGCACTGAAAACCTGCAGTCACTATCTGAAATTATCAAAAAAGCTGGGTTAGGTAGCACTTGGTAAAAATCGATTTCCCTAACCGGATTCGGTTGCAAATTGTTATTTTAGGTTTTTTGAGGTTTCTAATGACGAATTGGAACTTAGATTTAAAAAATTTCAAAGTGGCGGACTCAATTTTTTAAAATTATCAACGCAAATTTTGAAAAATTGAGTGAATTCATTATTTTCAGTCCGCCATTTTGAAATTTTTTAAATCTAAGTTCCAATTCGTCATTAGAAACCTCAAAAAACTTCAAGTAACAAGTTGCAACCGAATCCGCTTAAGGAAATCGATTTTTACCAATTGCTTCCTGTTCTAGCTTTTTTGACAATTTCAGGTAGCGACTGCTTGATTAAGGAGGTTTTTATTGATTATTTAAGTACTTTTCAGTTCTGAGCCTCAAAGTTGAAGGTTTAAGCTTTTATTTAAGCTCTTGTAGAGATTTTTATCATGTTGCGTTTTCTTGTTACGCTGCCTCAAAAAGTGCTAAAAATACGGTTTTTGACACTTTAAACTCGTTTTTTTAAGGGAATGACCGAATGAAAAAATGTTTTACTGGTATATTCTTATTCAGTGACACCTAAACTTTCAATAATCACAGGAAACTTTGAATAAACACGATATGACCATTTTTTTGTAACCCAGTGTAATTGGTCCTGATCTTCATAAGCAATTCGTTGTGCGAGAGCCTATATCAGCAGCTCAACGCTTAGTCCTGACCTTAAGGTCTGTCTAAAAAATTATTTAAATTAATTAGAATATTTCTCTATACAAACACACACACAAAATTATAAAAGAAGTTTCTAATTTATTCATCATTAAATATTAATTGAAACTTGCATTCAATTTTTAAAAATTATCTAAAATTAAAAAGAAACTTTTTAGAGATATTTTTATCATAAAAGATTAAAATTTGTTAGATAAAAGATAATTCAAAAACATTTATATAGGTTTCTTGCTTCTGGAGATTCAATAACATCAATGTCGTACCAATATTTAGTCGGTGTGACAACAGCAAGTAACATTATTTACGAGGTTTGCAGGGCAATTTGGAAAAATTTACAGCCAATTGTATTACCATCAAAGTATAATACTGAAAAATGGTTAAAAATTGCAGAAGAGTACGAAACAATGTGGAACTTCGTTCATTGCATTGGTGCACTCGATGGCAAACACATTGTTATTCAAGTACATTATATTATATTTTAATATTGTTTAATACATTAATTTTTTTAGATATGTTGCAAATAGAATATTGGATTGAACTTAAATTTTAATGTGCCCTTTAATTAAATAAGCTCGAAATTTTGCAGAATTTGTATATTTGCGCAAACATTTTACTGATGTTATTAAATATAATGTGCAAATCAATTTACGGAAGCCACACAGCACCGAAATTTTCCTAAAAATGTATATAGGTAAAAATCTATCGTAAAACTTTCCTGAATATTTAAATTTCATTCTCACAATATTGCGATAATATTGCCGCAAGCTTGCTGTAAGCTTACATAAAAATTTTATTTTTAACAAATAAGAACATTTTTGGAAACAAGCTTGAGGCAAAATTACCGCTATATTTCAGCAAGCTTCTTATGGTATAATATTTGAAGCTTGCTACAAGATTACGTGGTAGCTGGGTAAATTTTTAGGATAGTTTCGGTGCTGTGTAGGAAACCTTGGTGAAAAAATGATTTAATTTTTTCTTTTTGTTTAAAAGTTTTTATATACAGTATACTAATTGTTTATAATCTTGTATAGTGTCCAAGAAATGCTGGTTCATCGTACTATAATTACAAGGGTAGTCATAGCATTGTGTTTCTAGCTATGTGTACTGCATCCTACATTTGCACATACGTGGACATCGGTGCATATGGAAGAAGAAATGATGCAGGGATTTTTAATGATAGCTCTTTAAAAGAAAAAATTGATGATGGATCATTAAATATTCCCCCAGCTTCTAAAGTTTCTGAAGATGGACCGAGTTTATCTTATTGTATTCTTGGTGATGAGGCTTTTCCACTGAAAGTGAACCTTCTTAGACCCTATCCTGGCAAAGTCTTGAATACACAAGAGAGGCAAGTTTTTAATTATCGCCTGAGTCGTGCTAGACGCACAATTGAAAACATGTTTGGCATCATAGCTAGTATGTGGAGGATTTTTCGGAAACCGATTTTATAAAATCCAGAACACGTGATAGAAATTATGCAAGCTGTAATATGCCTTCATAATTTGTTGAGACTCCAAGATTTAGAAGACGAAGATCTTAGAACGGCCTATGTTACCCAGGAGATGTGTGACAGAGAAGATGAAAATGGATTTCGTCCTGGATCTTGGAGAGACATAGTTGGAGACCAATCAGCATTTCGCGATATTCATCGCACTGGAAACAATTCAGCTACTCGTGAAGCATTTCGAATGCGTGAAAATTTTTGCGATTACTTCAGTAATGAAGGTTTCTTAGGATGGCAGTATGATTTCCTGTAAAACTTTTTCCCTTATTTTCGTTTTAAAATTTTTCAATTTTCATATTGAAAATATAATTTAAGGATACAATTTTCTAATATTTATTTGTTAATTTGTTTGTTATGAAATTGATGTTAATTTTTAACCGTAAAGTTTTTCCCTTTCGTTTCGATTAAAAATTTTCCAATTTTCGTATTTAATAAAATTCTTTCAAAACATAATTTTTTAAATATTTACATGTATCTTACTATATACAGAAAAATAAAATCATTTTCAGTTAAATGCAGTTTATTTTAGTATCATTTTTATATTTTTGTTAAATTACAAATTACAGTTATGGTTTATGGCAATATAGGCTGCAATGAAACTAAAATGCGAGAAAGTAATAACAGTGAAAAGTAGTAATGAATTAATAATATTAATTAAGAATAAGA